AACACAAGCCAGTATGCTTAATTAATATTTGACAAAGGAGGCAAGAGCATACAATGGAGATAAGACAGTCTCTTCAATAAATGGTGCTGGGAAAACTGGACAGATACTTGCAAAAAAATGAAACTAGACCACCAACTTATACCTTACACAAAAAGAAACTCAAAATGGATAAAGGACTTAAATGTAAGATTGGAAACCATAAAAATCTTAGAAGAAGCCATAGGCAGCAAAATAGCATACATTTGTCATAGCAATATCTTTACCAATACAGCTCCTAGGTCAATGGAAACTAAAGAGAAAATAAACAAATGGGACTACATCAAAATAAAAAGCTTCTGCACAGCAAAAGAAACCATCAACAAAACAACAAGAAAGCCCACTGCATGGGAGAACATATTTGCCAATGTTATCACCGATAAGGGTTTAATCTCCAACATTTATAGGGAACTCATACCAATGAGATACCATCTCACACCTGTCAGAATGGCTATCATCAACAAATCAACAAATGACAAGTGCTGGCGAGGATGTGGAGAAAAAGGAACCCTCCTGCACTGCTGGTGGGAATGCAGACTGGTGCAGCCACTGTGGAAGACAGTACGGAGTTTTCTCAAAAAGTTAAAAATGGAACTCCCATTTGACCCAGTAATCCCACTTGTAGGACTATATCCCAAGAAACCAGAAACACCAATCAGAAAAGATATATGCACCCCTATGTTCATAGCAGCACAATTTACCATAGCTAAGATTTGGAAACAGCCTTAATGCCCATCAGCAGATGAATGGATTAGAAAACTGGTACAGCTACACAAAGGAATACTACACTGCTGTAAAAAAGAAGGAATTTTTACCATTTGCAACAGCAGGGATGGAACTGGAGAGCATTATGCTAAGTGAAATAAGCCAGGCAATGAAAGAAAAATACCACATGAGCTTACTCACTTATGGATAGTAAAGAACATTCTAAACTAATTAACAAAAACAGATACAGAGGCAGAGCAGCATTGAACAGACTGTGAAACTACAGCAGGAAGGCTGGGGAGGGTTGGTGGGGGAGGTAAGAGATCAACTGAAGGAGTTGTATGCATGCATATAAGCATAACCAATGAACGCAAGATACTGGGGAGGGTAGGGGAGACTGGGAGAAGGTCAATGGGGAACAAAAAGGAGACATATGTACTACTCTTTGTAATACTTTAAGCAATAAAATAAAAAATTAGAAGAACCCATAGGCAGAAAATTATCAGACATGTCGTGACAATATCTTTACTGATACAGCTCATAGGACAATGGAAACTAAAGAGAAAATAAATGGAACTACATTAAAATAAAAAGCTTCTGTACAGCAAAATAAACCATCAACAAAACAATAAGAAAGCCCACTGCACGGGAGAACGTATTTGCCAATGTTAGATCTGATAAGGGTTTAATCTCTAAAATTTATAGGAAACTCATACATCTTAACAAAGGAAAGATGAACAATCCAATCAAAAAATGGGCAAAGGACCCAAATATACATTTTTAAAAAGTGGACATACCGAAGGCCAAGAAACATATGAAAAAATGCTCAAAGTCACTGATCATCAGTGGGATGATAATTAAAAAATATATGAATTGCCACAACCTTTTGCAGCGAGGATTTAGGATCTGGAGAAGGGGCTGCACATAAATGGATACACTAGACAAGAAATATAAATTTATAAGGCATAGGGTGAGCCAAGTGGAGATCTTACTTTCTAGCGGAGAGGTTCTCCGAATGTGCAGACCCATTGGCTTTTATTTACTAGAATACACATTTGCCCTTTAGCAAAGCAAATAGACATATCAATAGTAAGGTATGGTAAAAAGTAAAAGATTACCAGGTTAGGGGATTGCCTTGAGCCACCATTGTCTCGAAAGAACAATTGGTGCATAGCTTTTAGCCCTTGCTAAAGCCCAAGGTCCATCAGCCTTCTGTGTTCCCTGCTGCACTTTAATGATAGTGTAGACCAGCAGTTCTCAACCTGTGGGTCGTAACCCCTTTGGGGGTCGAACAACCCTTTCATAGGGGTCGCCTAAGACCAATATAATTACATATTGTTTTTGTGATTAATCACTATGCTTTAATTATGTTCAATTTGTAACAATGAAAATAAATCAACAAATGACAAGTGCTGGCGAGGATGTGGAGAAAAAGGAACCCTCCTGCACTGCTGGTGGGAATGCAGACTGGTGCAGCCACTGTGGAAGACAGTATGGAGTTTCCTTAAAAAGTTAAAAATGGAACTCCCATTTGACCCAGTAATCCCACTTGTAGGACTATATCCCAAGAAACCAGAAACACCAATCAGAAAAGATATATGCACCCCTATGTTCATAGCAGCACAATTTACCATAGCTAAGATTTGGAAACAGCCTAAGTGCCCATCAGCAGATGAGTGGATTTAAAAACTGTGGCACATCTACACAATGGAATACTATGCCACTATAAAAAAGAAGGAACTTTTACCATTTGCAACAACATGGATGGAAGTGGAGAGCATTATGCTCAGCGAAATAAGCCAGTCAGAGAAAGATAAATATCACATGTTATAATGATCAACATAATTTGATGACTACCATCAACAAATCAACAAATGACAAATGCTGGCAAGGATTTGGAGAAAAGGGAACCCTAGTATATTGCTCATGGGAAGGCAGACTGGTGCAACCATTATGGAAAACAGTATGGAATTTCCTCAAAAAATTAAATATGGAACTGCCATTTCACCCACTGATCCCACTTCTAGGGATATATCCCAAGAAACCCAAAACACAAACAGCAAGAATGTATGCACCCCTTATAATAGCTAAGATTTGGAAACAGCTCAAGTCCCCATCAGTAGATGAGCGGATAAGAAAGCTCTGGTACATTTATCTAGGATGTCCCAAAATTCATGCAAGAAGTAATTTTGATAGAAACACAAGTTTATAATTAAAAATTGTAATTTTTTTATTGATTCATAAAGTATATAGTGTAGGGTTATGTATGGAATAGTACATCGGGTAAATGGGCTCCACGGCTTTGCTGGCACATACGCAAAGCCGTGGTCTTCATTGGTCTTCATTGTCCCTGCTCCCGGGCCATAATTGGTATTTGGTAATGCTTATCAAATTGAAGGGATTGAAATCAAAGGGCAACAGATATTAGAATCTGATTCAATAAACCAAGTAAAATTAGGCTTTTATTTTTTTGTTGTTGTTGTTAGTGCTCACACAAAATTCAAATCTTGCATGAATTTTGGGACACTCTATACCATGGAATACTATGCAGCAATATAAAAGAAGAATCTCTTACCCTTTGAGACAGCAAGGAGAGACCTGGAGATTTTAATGCTAAAGGAAATAAGTCAGTTAGAGAAAGACAAGTATCACATGAGCTCACTCATATTTGGAATCTAAGTAACAAAATAAACTGATGAAGGGAATGGATCCAGAGACAAGAAAGCATAGAACAGAGTGCAGAATCTTGGAGGGAAGTTGGGAGAAGTTGAATTGGTGGGAGGGAATCAACCAAGGACCTTATATGCATACTAGGGGCCTGGTGCACAAAATTTGTGCACTGGGGGTGGGGGGTCCCTCAGCCCAGCCTGCCCCCTCTCACATACTGGGAGCTCTCAGGGGATGTCCTACTGATGGCTTAGGCCCGCTTCCTGCTCCCCTTGGGGAGTGGGCCTAAGCTGCAGTCTGTCCTCTCTTTGTGGAAGGCGACCGGGCTGATCAGGGGAAGGCACCAGCCCCATCACCCCGCTGCTTCAGCCACTGCCAGTCACCACAGCCACCAAGGTGTTTTCATCAACATGGACTATAGTCCCTTCACCATGAAAAAATGACAACTTTCTTTAAGCATTTTCAAGATGTGTCTTTCATAGGATATGACACTTGTTTATTATTATTATTTTTAATCCTCACCTGAGGATATGTTTCCATTGATTTTTAGAGAATGTGGAAGAGAAAGGGAAAGAGAGAAACATCAAAGTGAGAGGAACACTTTGATTGGTTGCCTCCTGAATGAGCCTTGACAAGGGCCCTGGCCAGGGAGGAGCCTGCAACCTAGGTACATGCCTTTGGTCAGAATTGAACCCAGACCCTGTGGTCAGCAGGCTGAGGCATTATCCACTGAGCCAAACCAGCTAGGGCAGGATATGACATTTCTTAGCCCTCCAGCAGCAGACCTTCGTTTTTTGTTTTTTTTTTTCTCCAAGAGTGTGGTGGAAAAACACTAGATCACCTTTTTGGATTCTTATTATCCAAGTTACTAAGAATATTACCAGTGGCATACAGGGAGCTTAGCCAATGAGCCGTCAGGAAAGGTGTTTCCTCTGCAGTTCACTCCGATCGCCAGCTCTGCCCCTGCCCAGGCCTGTAGCCTCTGCTGCAGGCCTGGGCAGGGGACCCCCAGGCCCCTGCGATTGCCGGCTCTGCTCCTGCCCAAGCCTGCAGCCTATGGCTAGGCTGCAGGCCTGGGTAGAGGACCCTCAGGCCCCTCGGATTGCCAGCTCCACCCCTGCCCCACTGCAGCCTCTGGCCAAGGCTGCAGGCCTGGGCAGGGGACCCCTAGACCCCTGCAATCGCCTGCTCCACCCCTGACCAGGCTCCTGCAATTGCCTGCTCCGCCCCTCGCCCTCCTCCTGCCTCCCCTGCCACCTGCCTGGCCAACAGGCCTGGACACTTCAGCAGCATGTCTTAAGGGACTGGGCGCCGCCATCTTGTGGCTATGGGCGTGGCCATCTTTGTGACAGAGTGATGACTAATTTGCATATTACTCTTTTATTAGATAGGATATGAATGGCTCATGGACACAGACAATGGGGTGGTGAGGGCCTGGGGTTGGGGATGGGGGCAGGCTGGAGAGGGTCAATGGGGAAAAAAGGGCACATATCTAATACTCTCAACAATAAAGAATTATTTAAATAAATAAATAATAAAATAAAAATAAAGGCATATTTGGTCATTGTTAATTTTTTTAGGATAAAAATTATTTCCTGCCCTGGTTGGTGTGGCTCAGTTGTTTGGACTGTCATCCCATATACAGAAAGGTCTTAGGTTTGATTCTGCACCATGGCATATACCTAGGTTGCAGGTTTGGTCCCCCATTGGGGCATGTAGGAGAGGCAACCAATTTCTCTCTCTCTCTCTCTCTCTCTCTCTCTCTCTCTCTCTAAAATCAATAAACATATCATTGGGTGAAAATTAAAAATTTTCTTCCTTGGTCTGCATTATAGTTTTCAAAAAGACTGATAGAAAAAATTGGCATGGACAAAAGAAAAAAGAGAGAGAGAGCTGAAAGCACGTAATATTTCATGTTCCTATTATTTAAGTATATGTCAAAATGGAGATACCTTATCCTTATACAGCAAGAAATGAAATAAAACATTATCTTGAGAGGATAATTCAAATTATTTTATCTGGGATGTTAAGATATATCCAAAATAATCTTATATCCAACATTTAGAACATTGATTTTTCTTTAACAAATTTTCACTTATATACATTGTAGTCTAAAAAAATACACAGGATTTAGTTTATTACTTAGAAGAATAATTTATACATACATGGAGGTATTCAAAGAGAGAGAAGTATCTGATTTATCTTGAAATCTTAAAGACAAAATGGTATCTGAAACATGGTGGCTGCACATTAATTATTTGTTGATTGAGTGAATAAACAATTGTGCACCCACTTTAAAGAAAGCATGGGTAGTATAAAGAGAAAAAGGGCTTTTCTACTTTTGTTATTGATTCAGGGCAATTTTGCTATGTGGATACTAATGACATTTGTTTTGATTTAGGCAATAAATTATAGTTATTGAAAATCTGAACAATTCAAAGGGAGATATTAGAGTGTGAATGAAAAAAGGGGTCGTATGCAAAGTAACCCCACAAGGTGATCTGATCATAAATTCCTAACTGGGTAGGTCAAGGTGGGTAGTCACACCCCAGGCATATAACTTCCTCAGTGAAATGTTTTTAAGCAAACTCTGTTCATTGTTTCTGTGCATCTAGGTTAACACACCTTTGAAATAAATAGTAACTACCCTCAAGAGAGGACATAATCTGCTTGGCCAGTTGAGCATTCACCCATGAACCTGGAGTTCATGGTTCAATTCCTGGTCAGGGCACATTCCCGGATATGCAGGCTCAATCTCCAGTGAGGCAGTAGGGGGCGTGCAGGAGGCAGCCATTCAAAGATCCTCTCTCATCATTGATGTTTCTTCCCTCTCCCTTCCTCTCTGAAATCAATAAAAATATATTTTAAAATAGGAAAGCACATAATCTTATTAACTATCCTGTAATACAGTCCCTCCTTGCTTTCTCCCACCTCCATGTAATCTTTCTTATGTTCCTTCCTTAATCTCAAACATATAAAAGAAATTGCTTAACTGTTTTTATCCAGAGCATTTATCTCAGTCTGTTGAGATCATGCTTCAGGTGTATCTTCTTTTTGCCTTAAATAAATTTTTATAAAATTCTCTACAGGGTCTTATAATGACAAGAGTAGTTGATTTGATAATATTTCTCATTTTGAGAGATTTTTAAAATTTTTAAGGGAAAGAGAACAATTGTTTAAAAACTTTTTAAAAAATGATTATTTGCCTTTTATAGTCTACACCTAAAACACATTTTTAGAAATAGTAATAATCCTTTGCACCTAAATAGTATTTTTACTTTTGGACAAGATTAGTGTTAATTATCTCTAATTGTGATTTTTAAGAATCAGATTAACTGGAAAAAAATAAGAAGGCCACACATCAACAAAGTAACACTAGAACAGTAATTAAGAAAAACACTGTGATTGAAGTTAAAGAAATTAGAGGGCAGTCACCAAATGGCTACCTTCAAATACCAGAGTGGTCTTATGATGTCAGGAAACTCTGCAAAATACGATGCCTACAGGAAGTTCACTGAACATTTTCTGCCTGATTCAAAGAGCCTTGCAAGCAGTCAGCAAATGGGCTACATAGTCATTATGGCTAGCTTCAAAAAGGATAAAGAAGCTCTGTGCATTGTGATGTGTCCAAAGTACAGAAAATTATATCTGATGCAAACCATCCCTTTTGGAAACCTATAATGGAAAATGCTCTGAAGAAGACAACACTTATAATTCTGGGTGCTGAATGCAGACTAGGCATGCCATGGCACCTTGGCAATGCCACCCTTAAAGTGAATTCTCCTTCCTTTCAGTTATATTGTAAAAATATTTCCTTCAGTGTATGTTACAGAATTTATTTTCCATATTTGAAGAATGTTGACTTAAAAAAAGTACTCCCTATAAAAAAATAGTACTAGTACTTATGATGGCATATATCTAAATAGTATCCATTTCTCTCAGGCTAAAGCTTTAGAATTTTCTATTATTTTATCTGCCCAGTTTTTGAGTTATTTTTTAATTTATTGGGGGGACATCCTATGTAATAAAAGGCTAATATGCAAATTGTTCCCTTGGGAGTTTGACCACTGCTATGGCATGCACTGACCACCAGGGGGTGGCACAGAATGAAGGAAGGCCCAAGCCAGCAGCCAGAAGGCCCTGATTGGCCCTGATTGCTAGCCAGGCCTAGGGACCCTACCTGTGCACGAATTTCATGCACTGGTCCTCTAGTTGGTTAATAAAGTTATATAGGTTTCGGGTACACCATTATATAATACATCATCTGTATATTATGTGCGCACAAAATTTGTGCATAGGTATGGTCCCTAGGCCTGGCCTGTGATCAGGGCCATCTTCCCCAGCTGCCCGCAGCCAGCCCCGCCCCCTGCCACCATCCACTCCCAGTTCCCCATTCGCCATTGGGTGATCGGTGCTTGACAGCCAGGGGAAGGGACCGAGAGGTCGGCTGTTCCTGCCTGCTCACTGGCCCTACCCCCGCAGCAGGTGGCCATCAGGTGATCAGAGCCTGCTGGCCAGGGAAAGGGACCAAGAGGTGGTCAGTGCACCTCATAGTGACTGGTCCAGTGGTCGCTCTGGTCATTCTGGTTGTTCTCCTGTTAGGGTCAATTTGCATCTTACCCTTTATTATATAGGATTGTGTGTTCAACACCCCAAGTCAAGTCTCTTTCCATCACTATTTATCCCCACTTCACTCCTTTCTACCTCTTCCGACCCTCTTTCCCTCTGGTAATCAGCATACTGCTGTTTGAATCTATGAGGTTTTTTTTTGTTTGTTTTTTTTTTGCCTTGTGTTATTTTGTTTGTTTGGTTTTTTTTTTTGCTCAACCCTTTCATCCTTTTCATACAGCCTCTGATAGTTGTCAGTCTGTTCTCTATCTATGAGTCTCTTTCTATTTTGTTTGTTAGATTATTTTGTTCATTCAATTCCACATATGAGTGAAATATATGGTACTTGTATTTCCCTGTCTGGCTTATTTCACTTATCATAATGCTCTCCAGGTCCATCCATACTGTTGGAAAGGGTAATATTTACTTTTTTTATGGCCAAGTAGTATTCCATTGTGTAAATGTACCACTGCTTTTTTATCTGCTCATCTACTGATAGACATTTGGACTACTTCCAACTCTTGACTATTGTAAATAATGCTGCAATGAACATAGGGGTGCATGTATTATTTCAAATTAGTGATTCAGGATATTCAGATATATTCCCAGAAGTGGGATGTCTGATTCATAAGGAGTTCCGTTTTTAATTCTTGAAATAACTCCATACTGCTTTCTACTGTGGCTGCACCAATCTGCATTCCCACCAATAGTGCATGAGGGTTCCAATACTTGTAGTTTGTTGATTTATTGATGATACCCATTCTGACAGGTGTGAGGTGTTATCTCATTGTTGTTTTTTTGTTGTTGTTGTTAAATATATGTTTTTATTGTTTTTCAGAGAGAAAGGGAGAGGGAGATAGAAACATCAATGAGAGAGAATCATTGATTGGCTACCTCCCACATGCTCCCCACTGGGGATCAAGCCCACAACCCGGGCATTTGTCCTGACTGGGAATTGACCTCATGGTTCACAGGTTGACACTCAACCACTGAGCCGTGCCATTCGGACTCATTGTGGTTTGAATTTGCATTTCTCTGATAATTAGTGATATTGAGCATCTTCTCATATGTCTATTTGCCTTCTGTATGTCCTCTTTGGACATAAAGGTTTACTCAGATTCTTTGTCCATTTTGTAATTGGGTTGTTTGTCTTCTTGGTGGTGAGTTTTATAAGTTCCTTATAATTTTTGGATATTACCCCCTTATCAGATGTATCATTGGTGAATACATTCTCTCATTCAGAGTATTGTTGTTGTTTTTTTCATTTTGCTGATAATTTCCTTTGCTGTGCAAAAACTCTTTAGTTTGATGTAGTTCCATTTGATCATCTTTTCTTTTGTTTTCCATGCCCAACGGGATATATCAGAAAAAATTTTGCTACAGGAAATGTCAAAGATTTTACTGCCTATGTTTTCTTCTATAATTTTTATGGTTTTGAGTCTAACATTTCAGTTATTAATTAATTTTTTATTCTTGTGTATGGTGTAAGAAAGTGGTCTAGTTTTATTTTTTTGCACAAATCTGTCCAATATTCCCAACACCATTTATTGAATAGACTAACTTTACCCCATTGTATATTTTTGCCTTCTTTGTCAAATATTAATTGACCATAAAGGCGTGGTTTTATTTCTGGGCTGTCTGTTCTGTTCCTTTTAATACTGTTGTTATTAACCTAGTTACTAATAACAGAAAAGGAACAAAGGGAAGGCCAAATATTATAAGCATGTCATTTGAGCAGCTTCATTAGGAAGCTAAAGCTTTATACTCCCCAGGGAGCCACTGGTCTATTCCCGCAGATTGCTGGGGGAAGATACTGGACAAGATGAAGAATAGATCCATGTTCAGTAAAGCTGGGGTGATGTAGGGAAGGTACTTTGCTGTCAGTCACACCTGGGAACATGTCATTGGCTAGAATGTGCACTGCCACTACAAGGGTGCAAAATTTGGGATATTTAATGCCCTAAACTAAGGAGTTCATGCTCTTGGTTCATTTTATGCTTTTAGGACTCGTTGCTCCGGTCACTTTCTCCTGTATTAGTCCAAACACAATAGACTAATGGACTGCTGCTAGCCTGATGCTGAACTGGACCTGGTTCCAACATGGAAAGAAAACTCTGGACACTGTCTTTGCTTCCAGCTTTACTGAAACTCCAGCTATACTTCTTCTATAACTGGACTAAGGAAAATGGGACTTTGGAAACCCAGAAATGTAATTTCATGGAAATAAAGCTTTCTAACCATATCTCATCATCCTGTGAGGGCATCCGGAAATGCTTTTTTCAATGGTATCCTTATAACCCTACTCCCATTCTCAATGGGGAGTCTAGTCATACTTTTCTCTGATAACACTTTGATCTGTATGTCTGTTTTATGCCAGTTCCATGCTGTTTTGATTACTATGGCCTTGTAGTATATTTTGATACCCAGTAGCCTTCAACTTTGTTCTGTCTCAAGATTGCTGAAGTAAGAATACCGTTGTTGGAATCTATAATCAGTGTTGACTCAGGAAGGTTCAACTAAGCCCAGGAATTGTTGATTATAGACTCCTTATATTCTCAATACTTATGGAAAGGATTGGGCCTAGATTTTAGGGGTAGGACAAGGAGCAAATTAAGGTTTAATGGGGCCTAAAGTTTATATTATATTAAAGATTCTTTTAAAAAATATATATTTTTTATTGATTTAAGAGAGGAAGGGAGAGAGAGAGAAACATCAATGATGAGAGAGAATCATTGACTGGCCGCCTCCTGTATGCCCCCTACTGGGAATCGAGCCCACAACCCGGGTGTGTGCCCTGACCAGGAGTTGAACAGTGACCTCCTGGTTCATAGGTCGACCCTCAACCAATGAGCCACACCGGTTGGGCCCCTCTACTATTAAGGATTCTTTAAGAAAAAAAAAGAGCCCTGGCAGGCATTGCTCTGTGGTTAGGGTGTCAGCCCTTGGACCAAAGGGTCATGGGTTGGATTCCCTGTCAAAGGCACATACCTGGGTTACAGGTTTGATCCCTGCCCCTGGGCTGGTCAGGGCATGTGTGGGAGGCAACCAATCTCTGTGTCTCTCTCATCCATGTTTCTCTTTCTCCTCACTCCCCTTCCACTCTCACTAAAAATCAATAGAAAAAATATACTCACTCCTTGGGTGAGGATTAAAAAAAAAAAAAAGACTGGAGCTACCAATATAAAACAAAAAAGTGAGTATTTCTGTAGAATAAGAGAAGAAATCAACAATTTACTGTATTTTTTTTTTAATTCCCAGGATATTTTCTGGGGGGAGGGGAAGAGAGAGAGAGAGAGAGAGAGAGAGATCAATGTGAAACAGACACATTGATTGGCTGCCTCCCACACGTGGGAACCTACAACCGAGGTACATGCCCTTGATGGGGAATCAAACTCATGACCCTTTGGTCCCTAACCACTGAGAAAACTGGCCAGGGCTCAGTAATTGTTCTTGATTGCAACCTGGCTTTCTTTCCAACCTCAGATATAGTACAATTCCCAGCTACTCTCAACATTCACAAAGGCCCTTGCAAGTGAGGGGAAATGACAAATTTTCTCAGCATCAGGGCAAATCTGCTTCTGGGCAGAGATGATTCCAAATAAAGAAGTTAATACTCCTCAGAAGTAGAAGAATGAGGGATCATAAGGACAGAGAGCCATTAAAAATAATTAGGAATTGCTCTATGAAGCAATTGTAATAATAATAATAATAAAAAAGGCTGGTACTGGCACAGGTATATAGATCAATTGAACAGAATAGAGACCCCAGAAATCGACCCAAGCCATTATGTTATATATATATTTTTATTAATTCTCATCTGAGGATATTTTTTTCCATTGCTTTTCAGAGAGAGTGGAAGGGGTGGGGGAGAGAGAGATGAGAGAGAAACATCAATGTGAGAGACACATCCACTGGTTGCCTCCTACACACACCCCGACCTGGGGGCTAGGAGTGAACTGGCAACCCAGGTACTTGACCCAGAATTGAACCAGCCCCGCTTCGGTGCACAGGCTGACTTTCTAACCAGTGAGCCACACAGGCCAGGGCTATGCTCAATTAATATTTGACAAAAATCATTAGAAATTACTGTTGAACAAAACATTTTTAATACTATACTATATTGTGGTTAATCATAATTACTGTCATACTGGTGTCCCCTATTCCAACAAATATATCATAACTTGGAATTTCAGTAAAATATGTTTGGAAACTAAATGCAGAAATCACAAATTTCTGCTGCCGACCTTTTAGGGTGACTCATGGCCTAGACAGCTCTGGCCAAATTAGTGGAACTAGTCATAAAACATCTGTTAGGATCATCTTTGGAATACTGTGTGCACTCTAGCTCTCCTTACAATCCTGGCCTGCTCTTCTGACTTTGAATGTGACTGAATTTAGTTTTACAACTGACATAATTTTTTGCTTTGTACAAGGATTTCACAATTCAGATCTTCCTGGGGAGTGTGGATGACAAAGGGCTTCTTGTGCTCGTTTTAGCAGTAGACATATTAAAGTTGGAATGAAACAGAGAAGATTAGCATGGCCCCTGCACAAGGATGATATGAAAATTTGTGAAGTGGTCCATATTTTTAAAAAAGAAAAAAAAGGGGGTGGTATGGAAAATAACCTCACAATGTGATCTGATCATAAATTCCTAACTGGGCAGATCACTGTGGGTAGTCACTCCCCAGACATATAACTTCTTTCTTTCTTTTTCTTTTTTCTTTTCTTCTTACTAGGCATATGAAGTCCCCTATTCAATCTTGGCCCCCACAAAGACAGACAGACAGACAACATCAGATTGTTCAAAGTCTGTCAGTGGATGCAAATAACTTTAGTAAAAGGTTTATCTTTGTATTAAGCAAGTCCTGTCCATTGTTTCTGTGCATCTGTGTTAGCAAACCTTTGAAATAAGCCATAAACACCCTCAAGAGAGCACATAATCTTAACCAGTCTATAATCCATTCCCCACCTAGCTTTTTGCCTTCCTTACATCTTCCTTTCATCCCCTCCTTAATATTAAATGCATAACAGAAGCTGAAAATATCATTCTAGGGAGAATTTGACATCTAGTTCCCCAGCATATGTTGTCAGTTTGGCTCAAATAATCTCATAAAAATTCTTTACAGGTTTGGAAGTTACTTATGTCGACAGGAGGATTCTGTACAGTCATGCTCAGATGACTAAAACATACAATGGAGGTTAATAAAATGGTACTTTGGCTGGAAGTGCTGCATGGGAACCAGAGTTTGTAAATAAAGAATTCTTATGTTTTCCTGAAGACAATAGAAATCAGAGGAGTAAAACACTTCAGAAGTGCCTGGTTTGGCTCAGTGGATAGAGCGTCTGCCAGAGGACTGAAGGGTCTGAGGTTTGATGCTGGTCAAGGTCACTTACCTGGGTCGATCTCTGGCCCTGGTCCCTGGTCCAGGTGTGTGCGAGGAAACCAATCAATGTGTCTCTCTCACATCTATGTTTGTTTCTCTCTGTCTCTCCCCCTCTCTTCCACTCTCTGTAAAAGTCAATGGAACAATATCCTCCGGTGAGGATTAACAACAACAAAAAAGTGGCACTCTCTCTCTCATTGTGATAAGAACAATTTTTTAAGTGTTGTTGATACAGTATTGTTATCTAAAGACACAATGTTGTACAGCAGATCTAGAACGTATTCAATTGGCGTAATGTAAATATTATACCATTATACAGGCTGGTTAGTAACTCCCTCTTCCTCCTTCCCCCCCAGCCACAAGCAACCACTATTTTATTCTTTGTTTTTATGAGTTTGACAACTTTAATTTAAAAAAAAAGATTTTAGAGAGAGAAAGGGAGAGAAGTGGGGGAGAAAAGAGAGAGATATGGATGTGAGAGAGAAACATAGATTCATTGCCTTCTGCATGTGCCACTACCTGGATCGAACCCACAACCTGGGTATGTGCCCTGACTGAGAATCGAACCTGCCACCTTCTGGTGCATGGACAATGCTCCAACTAACTGCACCACACTGGCCAGAGCAAGTTGGACTATTTTAGATATAAGTGGATTCATGCAGTATTTGTCCTTCTGTGACTGGCTTATTTCACTTAGCCTAATGTCCTCATGGCTAGAGATGTAACCAGGCTCTACTCTAATCACACTTTCTGCTGTTTACCCTTCCCCTCCTTTTACCACTCAGGCTTCATCTCCTGCTAATTTCATAGCCACTGGACTCCTGCTCATTGTCCCCTTGCCCAACTCCAACACTCTAGATATATTCTGGCCCCAGAAACCACTTCTTTCCACCACTGCTTTCAGGTGATGCATAAGCATTGCCTTAGTGTGGACTTTTAAAGTTTCAGCATATCCTCTCCTTCTTGGTTCTTTCTAGTTAATGTTTCTGACTTATTTTCTCTCTATCACTTCCATTATTATATTTTTACTAGAGACCCGGTGCACAAAATTTGTGCATGGGTGAGGTCCCTCTGGGTGGCCTGCAGGGATCGAGCTAAAACCTGCAGTCCAACACTGCCTGCAGCTCCAACCTGCCTCTCCCGCTCATCCCAGCCCCACTGTACCTGCCATGGGCTTGTGCCCAATCAGTCCCTATCAGGAGAGGCTCACGCTGCTGTAGCAACACTCACCAGCCATGAGCCCTGCATCTGGCGCCCTCCCAAGGGGAGTGGCCTGCTGGATCGGGCTGAAACTGGCTCTCTGACATCCCTGAGGGGTCCTGGATTGCGAGAAGGCACAAGCCAGGTTGAGGGACCCCACCGGTGCACGATCGAGAGACCGCAGAAGGGCTCCAGGGCGTGTCTGGCCCATCTAGCTCAGCCCCAATCAGCTGGACCCCAGCAGCAAGCTAACTTACTGGTTGGAGCATCTGCCCCCTGGTGGTCAGTGTATGTCATAGCGAGTGGTTGAGCAGCCTTAGCATCTCATTAGCATGCTAAGATTGGTTGTTCTGGCATTTGGTCTATTTGCATATTACCCTTTTATTATAGAATCTCTTTATTTTTTATTTTATTTTATTTATTTAAAAAATTTTTTTCTTTATTGAATAAGGTATTACATATGTGTCCTTATCTCCCCATTGCCTCCCCTTCCCCCCACTCATGCCCTCACTCCCCTGGTGTCTGTGTCCATTGGTTAGGCTTATATACATGCATACAAGTCCTTTGGTTGATCTCTCCCCTTTACCTCCTCCCTCCCCTACCTTCCCTCTGAGGTTTGAGCATCTGATCAATGCTTCTCTGTCTCTGGATCTGTTCTTGTTCATCAGTTTATGTTGTTCATTATATTCCATAAATGAGTGAGATCATGTGATATTTATCTTTCTCTGACTGGCTTATTTTGCTTAGTTCCATTGTGTAGATGTACCACAGTTTTCTAATCCACTCATCTGCTGATGGGCACTTAGGCTGTTTCCAAATCTTAGCTATGGTAAATTGTGCTGCTATGAACATAGGGGTGCATATATCCTTTCTGATTGGTGTTTCTTATTTTTTGGGATATATTCCTAGAAGTGGGATCACTGGGTCAAATGGGAGTTCCATTTTTAGTTTTTTGAGGAAATTCTATACTGTTCTCCACAGTGGCTGCACCAGTCTGCATTCCCACCCACAGTGCACGAGAGTTCCTTTTTTTCCGCATCCTTGCCAGCACTTGTTATTTTAATTATACAAGAGCAAAATCTCTATAAAAACAGGGATTTAAAAAAGTATATATTTTTGTTTTACCAGAATCTAGAACAATGAGATATAGTAGGCATGCAGGTACACTATGTTTTTTAATCAGTGAATGAATACATGCTATTATGTGCCAGTTATTTAGTATACAGTGTTGAAAAAAATTGAATCCTGCCCTCTGCCAATAAACAAATAAAAATATGTCAAACATGAGAGATGTTTGTTTAAAGAGTAAGCATGGAACAGGGGGTAGGGTGAGGTACTCAAGTTGGGCTTCCTGTAGGAGGTGGCATCTGAGTCTGAGGAAGTTAGCCTAATGATGGGAGGAGGATAATTTTAGAGAAGAGCTTTTTAGATAGATAATATGAACAAAAGCAAGCTCTAGTCACCTGTCTTAGATTTAATAATGCACCCATTACTGGCTAACTTCCCTTTCCTGTATCACTTTATCTTCAACTACCCCTTTTCCTTCAAACTCTCAACAAACTGGTGGTTTTTAAATCTTGGTTCAGGGTTGGCCTCTGGAAGAACCCAAATGAAGACAGTGATTCTTACCCAAACTCTAGAGAAAAAAAAAAGACAAAAGTCTTTGGGAGATAATAAAGCAAACCATATTGGCTGGATATAGGATCTGAGGTGATTAGGTTTGATAGCAAAGGAACTTGAATTCTAGGTTAAGGGATTTGGATTGTTTCCAAATTCTTTATGAAATCTTTGAGTTTGGGGATGAGGTAATCAAAAGGATATCTGTGTCTGATGAATCTAGCTGTGGCATCTAATGGTATAATATTGAAGGCAAGGAGAATCTACAGGGAGGAAACAATTCCAACAGCATAGTTAGGCTATATTCAGAAATGCATTAGTGAGGTGGCAGTGAGCATGGAAAAGAACAGATGAAGAGAAAATGTGAAAGAAAAAAAATGCAAGATTAGTTGTCAAGCTGTGTGTACTGCAGGGCTGTTTGTGTTGCAGGTCCATGTATGTTAGAGAGCAGAAGTGTCATTAATAGAGATGAGGAAACTGTGAGTGGGATCTGGATTTGATGAATTAAAGACATTTGCACTTTGTGCCAGTGGAATGTTCAAGTAGAGATGTTCAGTAGACAGCTGGAAATACAAGAAGGCAGGAAGGATTTTTTTTCTGAATTGGGGCTCTTTCAGATGGTGATACACGTGTTCGGCTGTTTTGAAAATCCCAAAGAAACACTTGCTTTATACAATTCTTACAATCCTCACCTTGTGACTCTCAATAGAGAAGGGTGAATGTCATGGTAACCTGCAATGCTTGGCAGACTTTGTAATAGAAGAAGCACACACATACTGTGATGTGGAGAGACTGTAATTGTGCATGAGAGTATGAGGGCATGAGGGAAGGCAAAAAGCTAGGTTTTAACCATGCAAGTTCTTGAAGAAACTGGACAAAAGGAAAGCAAGAAATCAAGTTCAAGGAGTTTGACAGAGTCTGACCCATTACACAAGTTAGGAGGCTGAGATTTGGCCAAAAGACCAGCCATTCGTAGCAGAGAATTCAGACTCAGAGGATTAATGCTATTTGCTTTCTGCCTAGTTTTTTAAAAATGTTTTTATTGATTTCAGAAAGAGGAAGGGTGAAGGATAAATAGAAACATCAATGAGAGAGAATCATTGATCTGTTGCTTCCTGCATGCCCCAAACAGGAGATCGAGCCTACAACCCCAGCATGTGCCCTGACTGGGA